GGAGTGTGTATAAAGGATCAGGAATAGAAAAAAGTGCAGTGAGTGTGCAGACCAGGCAGTGGAGGTCTTGACTAAGACAAGGCATCTGTGAAGAGAAAGTTAATCCATTGGCTTACTATTTGTTCTAAGTAACTTCTGTGGACAGGATCCTATCCTGTGTGATGGAAAGAGTTGGGACTCTGGAAGGAAAAGATGGGATCCCTACCCTTTGGGAATCCCTGGTCAGATGACTGAGATTCAATCGCCACTCTCAGGGAGCTTCTAGGCTGGTGGAAGGACAGGGTGGTAGATGGGTTGGCTACAGCCATTTGGGGAGTTGTTGAGTAGCTAAGCAGCAGGATCAAAACAGTATGTGAGAGATTTGCTTCTAGCATCTAGAGGGATAGAGACAGGAGCTGGATGAAGACCATGGAAGAGATAGGGTTTCAGCTGTTCACGCAAAGGAAATCAAGAAGTTATTCACCAGCCCTTCGTCCATTCTGGTCTTTCCTACTCTACTTCCTCCTTTCCCTGCCCCACTCCCAATCTTCTCCGGAGCTCATTAGTCCAATTCTTTTCATCTTCCCTTATATTAAGATGGATAATGATTAGTAGTGGTGGTGGTGGTAGTTGGGAAGTTGGCCAAGAATATTAGAATACAGCAGTGGGGTATTTCTCTCCAGCCTTTTTTCCTACCCCGGTCCCATCTGGGCAGATTTTCTCCTTTCCTGCAAGTCCTTCATCTCAGTACTCTCAGAGGAATCTAAAGCCTATTGGGGTGGGGAGAGAGCAGGGGAAGGGGAAGCAATAGAAGAAAGGAAACAGATTAAGCCTCCATCTTGAAGAGATCCAAGATGGCACCTCAGAATCATGTCTTGTAGGCCCAGGAGGCCATTTTGTGACTCTGAGGAGATGAGTGTGTGGCTCATTTAGGAATTGAACTGAATTCAAATCTATTCATATCCCTTCTGCACCCTGGGCTAAGGGAGTTGGATATGGATGGTCTTTTGTCTCTAAACAGGAACCCCATGTCATGTGGTTTCAAGAGCCAGAATTGAGAGGGGGGAAGGGTTTGGCATCATACCATATAGATAGCAATGGAGCATCTGAGCCTAGTGGGGGAGGGCTAGGCTAGGACTGGCATATGGAAGGAGAGATGTGGGCACAGGGCGCATGGGATTCACCCGGGCGGGGCTGCCATCTGCTTGGCTTTGTCCATCTGGGACCAGCTGGCTCCCCTGTGCTGCCCCCCACTCTCTTTAACCAACCAGTCCCCTTCTTGAATTGTTGCTATGGTGACTGGCCGCCATCTTGTACTTGGCTCTGTCTTTGCCTGGACCTTCCCATGGGGTTCCTGTAGGCTGGGAGACAAGACACCTGGGAATCCATCCTCTGTGCCATTCTCGTGTAACATCAATAATATTAATATTATACAACATTCATATATATATGTATATATGTGTGTATATGTAACATTTATATAGTATAAATATTTAACAGCTGTCAGTATTGCTACTTATTGTACTGTTTAGTAATCACTGAACTTATTACTTTTAAATATACATGCATTTATAGGTATATTCAGTTCTAATGAACTCAGGATCAACCATTTTGCTTCAGAAACTTGAGGAAATATTCTATCCCCCTGCCTGCATCCATGCAGAATTTGCCTTCCATGAGCCAGTTGATTTCATGACATTATTCAATGCCACAATAAGAATATAGCCCCAAACCCTTCTATTGCACTGAGTTTTTTGGATCTTGGTTTTACCAAGCAAGAGAAAGAGGTAGAGTATATCCCACACCCCATCAATCCAGCTCCATCCTTGAAGCAGGCTTCCTCTGCTCTGTTGTGGAAGTCTGGAGCCTGGGCTTTAGGTCACATGAGTACTGAGTCGTCTACTTCTCTCTGCCTCAAGTTCTCCTTAGGAGCTGTTGGGAGGAGAAGGTACCATTTAAAGTTCTCTGACTCTAGTCAGAGAACAGGACCATCCAATGACTTTGTCTGGGAAAGGAAGCAGGTCCTGAGGAAGTAGGAGATCACCACTTTCCATCTTAATAAATGAAGGGCAGGTGTCAGCAAGGATTTCTCCATTTCCCACAGAAAGTCCTTATGAAACGTCATCAGATCATAGTATTTTGAGGTTGAAAGATGCCTTTGAGATGATCTCATCTATAATTTGAATTTCCCTCAATTTACAGATTAAGAATTAGAGGCTTAGGGAAAGAAAGGGATTTGCCCAAGATCACACAGCTAGAAAGTAGCATAATCGGGATTCAAATCTCTTTCTGCTCTACCTGACCATGTCTCTAGGACATAGCAAGGGCACCTCATTTTAGTCGGTCAGGTAAGCTAAGTGGGACTGCAATGACCCCAGCAGGCTCTCATAGGTCCGGTGGTGGGAAGAGTAATTTTCCCTAAGCCCTCTCAGAACTTGTACAGAATGAAAGCTGGGAGGAGGGAAGAGAGAAAGAAACCTGCTCCTCGGCCCTCCCCTGCTGCCCAAGGACAGGGGGATAATTTATGATATCATTGTTCCTCTTTCCCCATATTCCTGACTCCCTTTCCCCTTCCCAGCCCCCTGCTACTGTATGGTTGCTAGGAGATCCTCACTATGTATGGCTGGGGTGGGGGGGAGGGAGGGAGTGGTAACCGGCAGAAACAAGTCCATCTGGACTTGTCCCTCCTCACCCCACCCCAGCCATGGGAGAGGGGATAAGAGAGGGGCCTCCACCTCTAAACTCATTCAGATATGTTCCCACTGGGGACAGAGAGAGGCCAAGGGAGGGATTTAAGGACATATAGGGTTTGTGCAAATGTCAAAACTCCCCAATTTCCTTCCTGGACTTGGAGAAGTGGAAATTGGGGAACCTTAGTGTTGAGGTCTGAAATTTTTTAGTAGAGGACTCCTCTGATGCCTGATTTCTCTGCAGTCCTGTTATTTGGTTTAGGTTCATGTTGGAGGGTTCTGGTCGAACTAAGGCAGAAATTCCCCCCTCCCCCCCATCACTATGACCACCACCTTTGCCCTCACTTCTCCTTACTCTGCTGACCTATTGCAGAAGGAGAGACAAATTGGGAGCAGGGAAAGCCCGGATGGGAACACAGAATGGATGCTGTGAATGGGGAGGAGAGGCTGGACAGAGGCAGTGTGATGGTATAGAAAGAATGTGTGATTTAAAGTCCAAAGGCATGGGTTTGAATACAGACTGAGTCATTTAGGATCTATAATTTGAAGGATCTTACAACCCCCCTCACTTTGCAGATGAGGAAACTGACCACTTGAGTGATCTTGAACAAATCACCTAACAATTCCCAATCCAAGTTTACCCAAATGAAGAGCTCACATTTCTACAGCACTTTAAGTCATAAAGAATTGATAAATTAATCAATCCAGTAACAAGTATGCCAGTGACTGTTCCAGGCAATGGAGATACGAAGACTACAGAATAATAATAATGATAAATAACATTTATATAGAACTTATTATGTGACAGATACTATGCTAAGTTCTTTTTACAAATATTATTTCAGTTGATCATCACCAGTCCTGGGAGGTAGGTACTATTATTATTCCCATTTTACTATTGAGGAAACTGAGGCAAACAAAGGTTAAGTAACTTGCCTAAGGACACATAGCAAATAAGTGTCTGAAGCTGGATCTGAACTCAGGTCTTCCTGACTCCAGGCCCAGCTTTCTGTCCACTGTACCCCCCCAGTGGCCTCAAAAATGAAGCAGTCCCTGTCCTCAAGAAGCTTATATTTTACTGAGGGGGGACAGGAATACAACATGCATGTATGAATGTATGTGTATATATAAATATCTACAACATTAATTTTGGGATAGGGATAGGGATAGGCACTAACATCTAGGCACATCAAGAAAGGCTTTATGTAGGAGGTATCATTTGAACTGAGTCTTGAAGAAAGAAGAGTCTAAGAAGAAGTCTAAGAGCCAGAGAGGTTCTAGCTGTTAAATCCTACAATTCTCATGGAACAAGGATTTCTGACTTTGTCAAGAAGGACTCAGGTTAGACAATAGGAAGGCTAAAGCACCAGCAAGGGAACACTTTGGATCCATTGTGGAAATGAGGAAGGTGGGCCCTTTAAAGAGTCAATAATGTAGCATAGAGAGAGCCCTAGACCTGATTCTGAGACCCTGGAAACTTCCTAGCTGTGTGACCTTGGGCAAATCACTTAAAATCTTATTGCCTCATTTTCCTCCTCCACAAAATGGGTATACTAATACATATGCTACTTATACTGCCTACCTCATTGGGTTGTGGTGAAGAAAGAAAGCCTTAAAGGGCTATACACATATGAGTCATCCTTATTATTATCACTGTGTTCCTGGTGGGAACGCTTGGCAAATTGTCAAAGTCCCGGGGCAGGTCTAAGATAGAAAGTGGGGTAAAGGTCAGTAGTTGGAGCTGCTTAAATTCCCTAAAATCCTATCTAGGTACTGGCTCTTCCTGCTCCATGTTTAAGCCAGCCTTGTTAGGGGAGCTGTAAAAGAAGGGAATTAAGCTTCTGCCCGCCTCATTAGAGTTGTTTCCTTAGATCTAATCCCCTCATATGCTTGAGATCTAAGGTTGCCATTCCCAAGGCATTCTTCATAACCTGGGAGGCTCCTTCTGTGCAGGAGGGGTTCCCATCCAATCCTCCCCTCTCACTGGGGTGGGGGGAGACCATGGACATTGTTCCCCATCACGCTGTCTCTCTAAAATCTCTCCCTTTGCTGAAGCTCAATGATTCTATGATCATATGTCATTAGTCTTTTGCCTCTTTTTGTATCCCCAGCGCTTTGCACAGAGTCTTGCACATAGCTGGTGCTTAATAAATGTTTAATGATCGACTAATTGGTGGGCAAGGAGAAAGTGGGCCAGAGGCCTCGGGCATAGAAGCTAGGTCCCTCTCAAATTACCAGGAAGTTCTTCCTGTTTTCTGCCCTCCATCTCCCTTGCTGAATTCTGTCTTTGCAAATGGTGCTTTTCTCAACTGTTTCTTTTCTCCCTTTCAGCCCAAAAAGAGGACTTGAGGAGCAAGGAGCCAGTGGCATACGTGGGGAGAAGCCTTAACACAATTGGCCTCCACATCCCTTAAGCAGCCTTCCATGACTGACTGGAGGACAGGTAACAGAAGCCACTCTACCCCAGAGAGAGAGAGAGAAGAGATCTTCCTGTCATCCTATCAGCTGACATCTGCCCTCCTCCAGGAAGATTTTCAGGATTCCTAGAGCACCAACTTTTGAATTACCCAGTTCCTGTCTGGGATAAAAGTACTTGAACTTTACACATTGCCCATCTCTGTGTATTTTTACTAGCCTGGGAGCCCCACGGGGGCAGGAACTGAGTCTGTGTTGAATAAAAGCTCTTAGATCCTGATGACTGATGAGGTTTATATTGGGATCATGGTTGGGGTAAAGAGTCCTTGGGGAATAAGGCTTTATAGGCCAGAGACTCAGCTGGGGGTAAGGAGAGAAGGAAGGAGGAAGGAGGGGCTAAGGACCCCGCCTGGAAAAGAAAAGTCTTGGCCAAATGAGGAACATCCCTGGTTCTAAAGAGGAAGGTGCATGGGGTGCATATTGAGTTACTTTTCTATGAAGGTGCCAGTGGAAGGAACTGAATCTATTGTAGGAGGCATGGATATTAGACATTAGAGGGACTTAGTCATAACAGCACCAGATGGTATTAGATTTCACATCATCCTACCTCCTTAGGTCCCACATATCAAGGTTGCCAAGAAAATTCCTTCTCCTTTTCCAGGAGAATCCAAGCCTTGAGAATCCATAAGGCATTAGACACCATTCCTAGGGAGAAAAAGGATGGGAAAGGAGGTATGGATACAGGCCTCCTGTTTCAAAGATTATCGACACCAGCCCTCTGCCTCCCTATGGAAATACCTCTTACCTAATCCACATAGGGAAAACTCTCCTGGGGTGAAAGATCCTATAGAGACAGGGGAATCCCACACAAACTAAGTCATCTCATCCCTCGTGACCAGGACATCTTTCCTGAAATCTCACCTACATCTCCCCCACTGAAGTATCAACATGTTTCCCTCTCTCTCTTCCTACCTCCATGAAGTCAGAGAGGGTGTTGTCTGACTCTTCAGCAAAAGGGATGGGGGTTAGATTACGGGTCTGACTTACCAGCAACAGGAAAATGAGAGAAATCTCACCTGGACACTTTGAAAGAGGGGACTGGCATGAAAAGGAGGAAGGGGTAACAAAGAGGCATGGGGTTACAGAAGGGCTTCTGAAACTGTACATATACTGTTGGAGTTCAAAGAAAACTGGTTTGGCTACCAGAAGACCTGACTCTCTCACCCTCAACAGGCATTTCACCTCCTTTATTCTGTTTCCTCCTCTATAAAATGGGGATAATAATAGCATCTACTTCACAAGGCTGTGGTGAGAATCAAAAGAGATAATATGTGTAAAGGGTTTTACAAACCTTAAAGAGCTATGTAAATGTTAGCTACTATTTAACCCCTCTGAGGGAGAATTTCCTTAAAATGAGGATAACACTTTCATTAACTGCCTCATAATAATACCTACCACATATTCCATTTACTTTCCCAGCTCCTTCCAGAAAAAGGCCCAGAAATCCTCCCACGCCAAGGAAAAGGTGCTCGGAGATCCTATGATAATAATAATAATAATAATAATAATAATAATAAAGATGATAATGATCTTAAACTGCTTGTATTTCCTAGGGACCTCCGTTTACCCTTTAAGAAGTCCTTCCTCCTAGCTAACCATAAAGAGGTGGGGGGGATGGCTATGGAGGTGCACCAGATCACCAAGTTCTGCCTGAGAGGGGGAATCCTCAGCTGTCCCCTTCCCTCCCCCACTCTTTTTGGGGGTGCGTTTGGAGACTGAATTTAGAACACAATCCAAGCTCTCCTAGCCAGGACCTAATTCCCAATTCTACAGCTCCAGATTTGTGGTTGGGATGTGTGGAGAAGGGGTGGGGGTAAGCAACAGGCACAAAGCCCCAGGGAGCCAAGGAGTTTTGACTTCAGAGAGTCAAGCAGGGCCAGGGGGGTGCTAATTAAGAAGGGAGGGCAGGCAGGCTGGGCAGTGTCTGGCCAGAGTGTAAATGTGCCGGAATCCTAACGCTGCAGGCTGGCCTGACCGTCTGTCATCGGCAACACATACCCTTTGTTCAGCGAGCATCAATCTTCAGCCAGTGTGTGCGGTGTGGTAGGGGTCTAGCAGATAGAAGGAGCTCTAAATATTGGGAAAGGAACTTAGAGACCATCTAATCCAAACCCTCATCTTTTACAGAGGAGGAAACAGGCTAACTGACTTGTCTAAAGTCACAGAACAAAGTCTGTGTGATTGGAACCCAGGTCTTGTGACAAGGGCAGTGGAATAGGGTGAGTGCTCTATTTCGTGCCAAAAAAAATCTAGGTCCAAATCCCAACTATCTTGTATGACCCTGGATAAATCATCTAATTTCTTGAGGTCTCATTCCAATCCCAGATCCAGAATACCCAGGATGCAGCAGCTGTCACAAAGGGGGGGGAAAGGTTCCTATTCTTAGAGATGGTTAGGACCAATTACCATCCCCATCCCAGATCCAACAGGGGCCCACTTCCCTACCCCCAGGACCCCACCTTCAACTTCATCTCATTTTCTCTCCAGGAGGCCTTTGGGAAGCTTTGTGAAGGACTAGTCCCCCCACTGAGAACTTTGCTCTGCTGCTGTGCAGTTCAATCAAGAGACAAGGGGAGATCTCAATCACCTTATCTGGTCTAAATCCTCAAAACTCCCAAAGGGAGTCTATGATGCCCATCTGAGGGCCCTTTTCATTACAACCTCCCTGCCTCCCAAAATTTAGGGACCCCTGAGGACAGAATAGGAGAGCAAAGGGACACAAACCCCACAAACATGAATCTAGATGACAACTTTGAGGAGAGAGTTGGGCCTAAAAATTATGTGAATGAGTTGTGTGAGAAGCCTGGGTCTTGGGCTGCAGCCTGCATTCCTTCCTCCTCTACCACCCTTCCCCCCAATCTCTGGTACTAACTTTAATTCTGATGACTAAAGTACTGGGTCTTTAGGTATCATTAGAAGAACTTAAAAGGGTCAATGGGGTCTTGCCCCACCCCCTCTCATTGAACTTCAATTCCAGAAGGGACAGGGGGAGAAGTCTGGGACATGTTGGAATGCAGATCCCAGATTCCCACCATGTGTATGCAAATGAGGCCCGTCTGTATGCAAATTAGACCTGTCTGTATGCAAATGAGACCAAGGGACATTCTCTTCTCAGGGTTACCATAGAGCTCACCGATCTAGGACCCCTTCTTCACCCCCACCCCCATCCCATTCTTTGGAGGGCCCCAGAGCCAGGCCGGGAGGGGACAGAACTCTGAAGGGACTTCCCTTCCACAAAGGGCAGAGTGAGGGCCATAGGCTCTATAGCAGGAAGATGATAGTTAGATTGTAGGAAGGACATTACAAGTTGATATACTGGCCCTAGGGGAATAAGGGAGATAGGAAAGGGAAGGGAAGGGTGAGAGCTGCTGGAAGCTGGAGTTAGAGGGGTAGACAGCAGCAAAGGCTTCTCAGTGGGAGGTGTCAGGGTACAACTGAACTGACCTGGAAAGATCAAAGGTCCCCTGGAGGGGTGTGAGGTTGGGGATGGGGGAGAGATGCCAAGAGAGGAAGTTAGCATGTCATAGGATCTGGTTTTGGAAAGGATCTTAGAGATCATAAAGTCTTGGGATCCTAGTTCTAGAGCCCAGAGGTCATGGGGTCCAACCTCCTCATTTTATAGATGAGGAAACCCCGTAAAATGGCTTGGTGGCTCAAGGGAGTATGTGTTAGAGTCAGGATTCAAACTCAAGAGCACTTCCTCTGGATGGCTGTTGACTTGCTCAAGGTGATACAGTGAATGCCTAGCAGATCCAAGAGCTTTACTTAAGTCTCCTGACTCCAGATCCACTGTTCTTTATGCTGTGCCCCAAACCAGAACTTCCCAAGCTAGAAAAGAGGAATAATCTGCCCTTGCTGTTTAGAGGTTGTGGTGGGGGGCCAGAGAATGGAAAAACTACATGCAAGCTTTCCTCCCCCAGTTTCTGTGCTGCCCTGAGGGTGATTGTTGGGATTGTAAGTGACTGGCTCAAGGTCATGCAGTAAGCCTCAGGAGCACAATTTTAACCCAGGTCTTCTGATTACACAGCCAGGGCACTTTCCACTATACTACATGGCCCAGCCAAATGACTGTGGTTGACCTCACTTATCTAAGTATTGGAGGGATGGATACAAGGTTCTCCACTCCTATTGATGGGGTATGGGCCCATCATTCAGTTTCAGAAGCCAAGACCTTTGCCCCTTTCGCCAAAAGGAATTTGGTTCCCATTTGTCTGCAGGCCCCAGAAAACCCTTAAACTTTTTTTACTCTGGTCCCTGGTTCCTTACTGACTCCCCTTATCTCCCTTTGAAAGCCCTAGCCCCACCTTCCGATCCTTTCAAACTTCTACTTTCCAGTTCCCTTCATTATCTATTCCCATTGTCTATTCAATCTCTCAGAGCTTCCAATCAGAAATCTCATCTAGACCCTTTTCCCAGCCCCTCCTCTGGCCACCCAAAGTTAGTTCAGTGTATATAAGACCCACCCTGGCCCCCATTCAAACGCTGAGACTCTCTCATGCCTGCTCGTCCCTACCGGCATTACTAATGTTCAGATTCCTTAAGAGCCTATATGATTTATCCCTAATAAACTTTTTCTCTGGCTGGAAGATTTGAGTTGAATTCTTTCAGGCAGGGCCTGTATCATGATCTTGGGGGTCCAGCACCCCAAACCTCTAGACCTCATCACTATCACTTGGGGATTTATTCAATAACTGCAGTGTTAGAGCACCACGCTGACTGGAAGGAGGGTAGATACTAGGCAGCACGCTTGTTGGAGTTCTCCATCTGTCACTTGCTAGACATGTGACTTTGCCCAATCAGTTCTCTGTGGGACTTTTTCTTCATCTGTAACATGAGGAGATTGAATGAGATGGTTCCCCTGATCCCTTCTAGCTTTGAGATTCACAGATTCTTTAGGTTCTGAGGAAGATAGAGAGAGAAAGGAGACTGGCTCTTCACCTTCCAAGAACCAGGGAATAATCACAGAGGCAGAGAGAGGAGGCAACTGAGCTATTCATCGAGGGCTTTGGCCACCAGTGTTTAGAATGTAGAGAGATTTGAATGAGCAGGATTTGAATGAACAGTCTGACTGGAATCACTCCTCCTTCAGGCACTGTGGGTCAGGAGGATCAGGAAGAAGGCAAGGGACAGTGCTGAACTTGCCCAGAATTATAGATTCTCCGGGCTTGAAGGAACCTGGAAGC